GCCTTCAGCCGGTATTGTGCCCCCCCCCCCCCATGTTGGTGTCGGTAGTTGTCGGGGGCCTGGCCCCTTGAAACTTGGGAAGCAGAATCTGTCCTCGAGCTGGTTGGAAACCCCTTCTCGGATCAGACAGTCATTCAGATTAATCATTTGTATGTTATTTTGGTTATTAGGTTTGGTAACTTCAATTTTTGTATGTTTAATAAAGGGGCTGCTGTGGCCATTTAAATCCATGTCGCGCAGTCCGTGTGTTCACTGAGGTTTTTAACAGTGGGACGTCATTGACGAATCCATAGGTCAAGAGGTGTTCTTTCACAAAAAAAAAACATTACAGTTTTTTGCACAAAAGCTGACATTTTGATTTCCATACAGCGACCTAAAAATCAACAGAGGCTTTCGTTCACAAAATACGTTACCGGTAACACAATGCATGCCCTCTAGTGGCCATGTTTTAGTATGCAATCTACAGGTGCTAAGGAAAATCTTGTGTATGGTTCCTATACACATAAACTGCATAACATAAAGGCATTGTTATGGGTCAGTGGAGCAGGCCTGTTATAAAAGGAATGGAATATAATTAATCATATTTAATAAATAACCCTTTAAAAAATGTAATATGGTGATATGTACTGTCCTGCAGTGATCCACCACTCCACCTGTGCAAGCCAGGTCCCACACCACCAGTGGCGTAACAATCGCCATAGCGACCCAGGCAGCCGCTATGGGGCCCGGGGCACAAGGGGGCCTGGCCAGATGCCGTGCGGGCCGCCTGGGTCGCTATGGCATCTTATGCTGATGGCTTTCACTGGCGGCTGTGAGAAGAATGCGCTGCTGTTTAGATCACTGACAGTGATCTGTGCAGCAGCGCGTTCTTCTCACAGCTGCTGCGAAGTTAATGAGAGCCAGCAGCGGCGGCTGTCTCTCCTCTCTCTCTACCCTGGCTGTCTCTTCTAGCTCTCTCTCTCTCCCCTGTTTGTCTCTCCTCTCTCTCTCTCCCCTGTTTGTCTCTCCTCTGGCTGTCTCTCCTCTCTCTCCCCTGGCTGTCTCTCCTCTCTCTCTCCCCTGGCTGTCTCTCCTCTCTCTCTCCCCTGGCTGTCTCTCCTCTCTCTCTCCCCTGGCTGTCTCTCATCTCTCTCTCCCCTGGCTGTCTCTCCTCGCTCTCTACCCTGGCTGTCTCTCCTCAGTCTCTCGCCTAGCTCTCTCTCCTCTCCCTTGGTTGTCTCTCTCTCTCTCTCTCTCTCTCCCCTGGCTGTCTCTCCTCTCTCTCTCTCCCCTGGCTGTATCTCCTCTCTCTCTCCCCTGGCTGTCTCTCCTAGCTCTCTCTCCTCTCTCTCTCCCCTGGCTGGCTCTCCTCTCTCTCTCCCCTGGCTCTCCTCTCTCTCTCCCCTGGCTGTCTATCATCGCTCTCTCTCCTCTCTCTCTCCCCTGGCTGTCTCTCCTCTCTCTCTCTCTCCCCTGGCTGTCTATCCTCGCTCTCTCTCCTCTCTCTCTCCCATGGCTGTCTCTCCTCGCTCTCTACCCTGGCTGTCTTCTTCAGTCTCTCGCCTAGCTCTCTCTCCTCTCCCTTGGTTGTCTCTCCTCTCTCTCTCTCTCTCTCTCTCTCTCTCTCTCCTCTCTCCTGGCTGTCTCTCCTCACTCTCTCCTGTATATTCTCCAAAAAAAACGCGGCACAAGTATATGGGTTTTCCTAGAAGAAAAGGTGTCAACCTTACTAGTCACATAGGGGTTCAGAGGAATGATGGGGAACACATGCATCTGACACATCTGGAAGTGTCGAATTCCAAAGACACTGATGGAGGCTCCAGTGCTGGAACAAAGGGAAGGAAAGAGTCATGGGCCACCGGAGAGGTGAGTATAATCTCTCTTCCATCACAGGGACCTTTTAGACTTCTTTTATCAGAACCTGACAGAGTCATTTTAACACAAGTGCTAAAGTGATTTTTTTACTAGATGAAAATATGTTTAAGTATTTTACATGACTAAGGGATAAAAATTCAGCAGTGAGTAATAAGGAGGTCACATTATTATTGGACAACCATCTCAAGCAGTATGAACAGACACTGAATGTAAGGGATGACACCAGATGATTAACTCGTGCCATATGAAGTCTATGCTTTAGTGCCTGAAGCAGTAGGAAGGTGTGTGTGTTATTATGACCACCTGATGTTTGTAGGCAAATTAGCTATAATTTAGCTCTGAAGTTGCTAGTGGGCCAGACCATTATAAATAGGAAAGCAGGTTGTTTACCACGACAGTAGAAGTGATTTGTTTCTGAAGATACGGGGAAACAACGCGATTTAACAGCCTTTGAACGTGGGATGATTGTTGGCGCTCGGAGCCATGGAGCGAGTATCAGCAAAATAGCAGAATTTGTTAAATGTTGAAGAGCAGCTGTTGTTAAAGTGTTTAAAGACCGGACTGTCAGCCGAAAATCTGGGTCTGAATGTGCGAATTGTGGCCGTCAGCGACTAGTCAATGTTAGGGCAGAACGGAGAGTGGCAAGCAGAAGGGCAACAGTGCCGTGTCAGATTCCTCGCATCACCTTTCAACATCTCGTGGAGGCATCTCGTGGCCCAACGAAGTACTGATGGGGTGGTCATAATAATCTGCCCACTCAGTGTAAATGAAGGAATCTCCTAAGCTAGATACCTGGTATAACTTGTTGCCTGTGTCCGCTCTGTTCTGCAAAGCCTTTGGAAGGCAATGAGAAGTCAATGAAAAGCTCTGCTGTGCCTCTACAGCCTTGCTCTCTGCACCGTTATGGTGGAGACAAAAAGCACAAGAACACTTTCAAAGAGTTCATTATAATCATCTCTCTTCCATTGTGATCTGCTCATAATATGCTAAAGGAGAAGTCACACACAGAGGTCCTATTTTGTAAAATGTTTCAACATGTGTGACTTTTTTATGTTTTTAATCAAAGGATTATCACTTTATATGTCTGTATGTTGCACGTAAATTGACCATGTGATCTTCTTAAATGCCAAAACCTTTCTTTCAATTTCATTTGAGATCCTTATCTTCCTATCAGTTGTTTGAATAGAATGTACCGTGGTTTACATTCCAGACACAGGTTGAGACTGAAACACATGATCCGGCTCACGCTGGGTTAAACCTCAGCAGAGGAACAGGTCTGGCGAGGCTGGGGGCTGGAGGTGTTCAGGTGAGACGTCGGACAGCTGAAAGGAATAAGAAACTGAGAAAACAGCTAGAACGTCTACTGCTATGCCTTTCGCTACTCGTTCCTTTTTATGCCAAGACTCAGCAATGTAATGCCACTTGGGTTGGTTGACTCTGGATGACACATAGAAGATGCTACATCAGGTGACACAGGGCATCAGGACATGGACTATGAACCGTCAGCTGCTGGATGAGGAGAGGATAGAGCTGGTCCAGTGGAAGAGGTACAGTAATGGGAATATTCCCTGGCTCATCAATGTGTCCTACAAGATTCAACTTCCCATCTCATAATGTATAGGGCTTGTTTGAAGAGAGGATGACATTTGTCTTGAATTACAGGGAGGAGAGATTTTAGATTTGAACCGGTGTCCCAGGAATGGTTTGTCTTGTGATGGATTTTCCCAGCAAGAACATTCTGTAGGTCATGATTAAAGAGACACTGTCACTTGGCCCGTTCAGGTTTAAAATTGTCATCCCTTAATGCTTTCTTGCTACAATAGAGCCCTTGCTCCGTTGCTCTAACAGAGCAGGGCTTCAAGGTATAGGGGAGCATGTGAACCCCCCAATGTGACAGTGGGCTCAGCCCTGAGTGGCCAATCCACACTTGAACATTGGAAGGGGACAATGACATTGTCCAACCAGTTAAACTCTGGCACTAGAGTTTACCTGGTCTGACACCAGGTAAACTCTGACACAACCCATGGTGGACTTCTGCAGTGGTTAGGTGGCAAAGAAGGGTGGATCATTGAGTATACCTTGCTTGCAGGGGTGGTTATCCGAAGACACTGTCCCTTTAAACCCGCTCCCTTAAATCTAATGTAAACTTTAACATATTATTGTCATTTCAATTTTTTTTTTTAACCTTTTTTAAATCGGCAGATTTTATTAAAAAATAATCCCCGATGATCCCCCTATGAAGGCCTTTGTCCTGGTTCCTCCTGTTATGAGGTGTTTCCAAGAACCACCCGCAGTCCTTACGGTGTGCAACCTTCCAATGGTGGTGGTACTCTGGTGATCACACGGATGGCGCCGTGCAATGCTCGGAATAGTCTCTACAGGTCACCGGCACACACACACAGATGAATTTACCATCTCTTAGACATTGAAAAATGTCACAACATGTCATTAGAAGCTGAAGCTAATGTTTTCGGGACCTCGCAGGGACCCTTCATCAGAGCGACATAGTCGCTATGCCGCTCTGATGAAGGGTCCCTACGAGGTCCCGAAACTCTAGCTCCAGATTCTAATGACATGTCGTGACATTTCTCAATAAACATATCTAAGAGATATTAAATTAATCTGTGTGTGTGTGACGGTGACCTGTTATGAGGTGACAACTTGTTCCAGATTGTGCTCCAGCATGGTCCTCACGTATACCGCAGGTCAGTGCATTGTACGTGATGATTTCATCGATTTCATCGAACAGCCCTTACTAGACAGAGCTGTGCTGCATGGCAGAACTGTGTGCCGCTAAAAAGGGAAGTTGTCCTTTAAAGGAGAACTTTGAGGTGAGTGCTTTTCACTCACCTCATAGTTCTAGCCGACCTGTGACAATGAGACTGTCACAGGTCGGTTCAGTAGATCGGGAGGTGAGCAAACACATACCGACGTTCGCTCACCTCTTGATCCTGTCACGGCTCTCTGCCATGACAGGGGAGGGGCTGGATTTCCCCCTCCCCGCAGCTGGGTGGATCCAGACATAATTGTACTGAGCCTAGGGTGACGGGAGGACGCTGCTTTGTGTCCTCCCGTTACCCTAAGGAGAACTATGGGGAAAAGCCTTAACCCCATAGATCTCCTTTAAGTATTTCATTTGACATATATATTAAGTTCTAATATTGTGATAAATGGTTTAAATAATTCTTCTATAAACGGCCCACAATGACATTTTAGCTCCTCTCTCTTTTCTTTCATTGGGGTACCAATGTACTTTTCTGTTAAGGATTCACGAAGTTCCGCTTCTGCGTGCCGCCAAAGAAAATGATATCCGACTACTCAAAGAGCTTCTGGAAGATGAAAAATTTGACCCTTTCCAAAGAGGTGAGTGACAAGATTCTAGGCGGGTGAGTAAGGAGCAGAAGATGCATGAGGCTTGTCTTAAAGCAAGTTGGAGAAGGATAAAGTTCCCTGGAATAGAAGAAGGCTTATACTCACCTCTACAGCAGTCCATGTGTCCTTCCTCCCCTCCATTCCAGGTTGTCAGGGTCTACAAAGCTAGGTTCACACCTAGGCGATTGAGCCGATGAGCGGTTTTTACGCAATTTTGCTTTGAAAACGCAGTTTTCAGTTCGTAGAGATGTCTATGGGACCACAACCACTTCGATAAGTGCAAAATACCCTGTTGGTCTTGTCAGATATTCATAGCCGTCCATTGGCCAAAAATTCAGAGCCCTCCATTGGCCATCTGCACATTCCCTGTGTTGTCTCAAAGATCCCTCCAATTTTTCACTATTTTTTTTATTTTGTAGAGATCTGGAAGTGGTTGAGCAGTTTAGCAGAAGTCATTGGGCAGTGTTGACACCACTCAGTCCACTATAATGCTGTGTTTTGTCACGCCACAACAGGACTTAAAAACTGAGGACACTTTTTGGGCAGATCTGCGGTTAATTTTCCATAGTTGCAGGGTCTTTAAACAGATAAAAGGAGGTAAATGTGCATGTATTGCAGACGTGCACTGCATATTTTTTTTTTTAACATTGCCCAGACATACACTTCAAAGAGGTATTAAATCCCACTGATGGTGCTCAGGGTTTGTTGCCATAATGTGCACAAATGCACCGCATATATTCGGCTGCAATGTCCCCTATTTGGCATGTCTTCTTCTGGGTCCGGCGCCTTCAGCCATCTTGGTCAGCTGGCCCGGGTGACGTAACTCCCACGCATGCGCACTGGACTTAATTCATCCCAGTGCCTGGTAGGTGCTGGGATTGAACATTGGGGGGGGCACATGTGCGGCTGGGTGTAAATTCACACTAGGGTTGCCACCTTTACTTCAAGCGAAACCTGAACACACTAGCGACACCCGGACATTTTTTTTTTTGGAGAGAATAAGCCGTGGGATGTTCATATGTAAATAGCGCCACCCGTTTATATGTAAATGTCACAGTTGAGACTATTTTCAGTGCAGGGCCATTAGCCCCTATCTTAATGTTGGCTGTCCCTGTCTGCTTGACATCATGTGTTCCGGTCTCAGCTGCCATGAAACCCGGACACGGCATTCAAATCCTGGACTGTCCTGGTGAATCCTGGACAGGTGGCAACCCTAATTCACACAAAACATTGCTGACAGATAAGACTTTTTTTGGGGGGGAGGAGACCTACCCAATCTCTTCTACATATAAACCCTACATATAAACCTGCCTGCCGGCAATGTTTTGCTGACTTGGGTTTACTTCCACTTTAAAGTGAACCTGTGTTTCACCCATTTAGGCAAACAAAAGGTTTTACGTGATAACAGCCCCGTCCTCCCAGCACTGGAACAACGATTATGTGTAGAGCGCCATAAACAAGATCAGCTGTTAGAAGTCTGTTTACTACAACCACATGAGATAAAAGCTTATTGCTTTGCTAGTTGCTGTATTAACTACTTCAACTCTGGCACCTGCATAGCTCTCATAGACGAGAAGAATTTTCGTGGTCTACTGACTCGGCACTTTCGTGTATGAAGAGTTTCTGCGCCCATTCAAGTAACATAGCATTTGTGAGGTCAGGTACCAATGTTGGATAAGAAGACCTGGCTCTCAATTGGCATTCCATTTCAGCCCAAGGGTATTCAGTAGGGTTGAGGTCAGGGCTCTTTGTAGGGTTGCCACCTGTCCAGGACTCACCTGGACAGTCCGGGCTTTGAATGCTGTGCCCGGGTTTCATGGCATCTTTTATCATATATAATAATAGTCAAAAATGCCGATCTACACAGTAGCACATATATTCATCTATATAGAGGCCACATATTTATTTCAGAATATATATTTTTGTGCACACAGGTGCTGAGGGAGAAACGGCTTTACATGTGGCAGTCCAGCATGAGAACCTGGAGGCTGTGGAAGTTCTACTAGATGAGGCACCTGAACTGATTAACCAGCCCATGAACTCCAACCTCTACCGCGGTAAGCTGCAGAAGGGAATTTTCCAGGGGGTTTGACTGTTCCAAGGAAATTCTAGATTCATGTAAGTCTCCAGATTAGATCTCCCGCACTGAACAGAGACCCTCATTCTTAAAGCTGAATTGTGGCCCCCTTGAAATGAGACCCTCTTGTCTTACAAGATTCTAGATCAAATAATAAATGAAAAGGAGAAATTTGATCTTTAAAGATTGTCTCCTGTGATTTCTAGCTGCTAGCTTTAGATTTTAGTGTTATCAGTATGGGGATGGGAAGCACTGGACTCAATTTGTCACACCCATGGCATGCAATGATATTGATGTAGTGGCTTGTGCCGGAATTACACATACTAGCATCCATTTAGTCAGTTCCATTGGCAGGTCATATAGCTGCATAAAGGGTGTAGTCTGTAGACTGGTCCTAAAGAAGTTTCAGGGAATAGTCTAAAAACTGGTCTTAGAGCTGTATAGGTGGAGGGTGTGATCCAAAGATTGATCCTGCATCTGTATAAGGGGCTGGTCTGTAGACCAGTCCTACATCTGTATAAGAGGGTTGCCTGTAGACTGATCCTGCATCTGTATAAAAGGGTGGCCTGTAGACTAGTCCTGCATCTGTATAAAGGCGTGGTCTGTAGACTGGTCCTACATCTGTATAAAAGGGAGGCCAGTAGACTGGTCTTACATCCGTATAAAAGGGGCTGGCCTATAGACTGATCCTGCATCTGTATAAGAGGGTGGTCTGTAGACTGGTCCTAAAGATGTTTCAGTGAATAGTCTGAAAACTGGTCTTAGAGCTGTATAGGTGGAGGGTGTGATCCAAAGATTGGTCCTGCATCTGTATAAAGGGCTGGCCTGTAGACTAGTCCTGCATATGTATAAAAGCGTGGTCTGTAGACTGGTCCTACATCTGTATAATGGGCTGGGCTGTAGACTAGTCCTACATCTGTATAAAAGGGTGGCCTGTAGACCAGTCCTACATCTGTATACAGGGCTGGTCTGTAGACTGGCCCTGCATCCGTATAAAGGCCTGGTCTGTAGACTGGTCCTACGTCTGTATAAAAGGATGGCCTGTAGACTGATCCTCCATCTGTATAAAGGGCTGGTCTGTAGACTAGTCCTGCATATGTATAAAAGCGTGGTCTGTAGACTGGTCCTACATCTGTACAAAAGGGTGGCCTGTAGACTGGTTCTACATATGCATAATGGGCTGTCCTGGCCTGCATCTGTATAAAAAGGTGCCCTGTAGACTAGTCCTACATCTGTATAAGGGGGTGGTCTGTAGACTGGTCCTGCATCCGTATAAAGGTGTGGTCTGTAGACTGGTCCTACATCTGTATAAAAGGGTGGCCTGTAGACTGTTCCTACATCTGTATAAAAGGGTGGCCTGTAGACTGATCCTCCATCTGTATAAAAGGGTGGTCTGTAGACTGGTCCTGCATCTGTATAAGGGGCTGGTCTGTAGACTGGTCCTGCATCTGTATAAGGGGCTGGTCTGTAGACTGGTCCTGCATCTGTATAAGAGGGTGGCCTGTAGACTAGTCCTGCCTCTGTATAAAAGGTGGGCCTGTAGACTAGTCCTGCCTCTGTATAAAAGGGTGACCTTTAGACTGGTACTGCATCTGTATAAGGGGCTGGTCTGTAGGCTGGTCCTGCATCTGAACAAGAGGGTGGCCTGTAGACTGTGATAGTGCCTGCACATAGTCTCCCACCAGGCATGTATCTTAATTGGTGTTGGAGCTTAGACAGAGGGATGATTCCTGCAGTGCGGAAAGTTGGCCAATGGGGAGTGGTATACATTCCTGGGGGGGGGTGGGGGGGGGCTATGTGCACACACTGAATGGGAAAAGTGACTGTATCTCTTTAAGTTAAAGGCTGAATCAGGTTCTCCTGCAGCAACACAGACAGTTCTTATGTCAGAAACCTTAATGAACAGGGTCCATTGTTTAATGAAAGATAATGTACAGTATTATTATTATATGTCTTAAATTTCCTGTTCAGGTCAGACAGCCTTACACATTGCTGCCGTCAACCAGAACGTGAACCTGGTTGTAACTCTGATCCGCAGAGGCGCTGATGTCAAATCTCCACGGGCTACCGGGAGTTTCTTTGCCCTGAACCCCAAAAATCTCTTTTATTTTGGTGAGTTTCTGATCAGGTGATCAATATAATTTATACTTGCTGTTTAAAAAAGGAACTTTGCAGTGTAGCGGTTCTCAAACCTTTCTCTTCGTGCTCCCTCCCTCCCCTTTTGGAAGGAATTGAACTTTCATTTTCCCCCATCCCGCCTGTACAAATTTTAAGATCAGTACTGCCACTAGATGGAGTGGAAGAGCACCATCTACTGGCAGCAGTGCCATGTGAATGGTATTTGCCCAGCTATACACTGGGTGGAAATTTAATCAGCCCCCAAGTATCAAGTAGTAGGTCAATTAGCCAGTCAGTGTTGAATTTATACTTTTTGTCTAATGTGCGTTCACTAAGTCAATCAGCCAACCAATCACTATGGAATTATAACTTTTGAATAATGTGCTTTTCAGGTGAACATATCCTGACCTTTGCTGCTTGTGTAGGTGACACAGAAATTGTCAAACTGCTTCTAGACAATGGAGCTGATCTGTGGGCTCAGGACTGTTGGGGTGAGTACGTCTTTCTTTTAAAGTCCAACTCTTGGTTATTATTTATAATAATATTGTCCTTTAGCAATGAAAAAAAATTACTGGCTGCAATACTCACCACTTCTCCAGCGCTGTGGATCTTCACCACCACAAAATGTCCTCTGGGTTGAGTGATGCCAGTAGGACATACTGTGACTGCAAGGTGTCAAAGAGCCGCCCCTGAAGAGGCATCACCACTGTACCCTACACTCACAGTGCATTGGTGCAGGAATGACAAAATCAGCTGAGATAGCATCTGAATCAATGAGGACCGACCTCGAGAATACCTCACAAGGTTACTGAGAACGTACTTCTTGACCAATGCCTGTGCTGTGTAATGTGCTCAGTCTATGCATTCTGGGTTACTCATTACACCCTGTATTAAAGCCCATCTCTGGGCTCAGCCTCACAGTCGTCCCTGTCGCCTCTTTTCCTGCAGGGACCCCCCAATTTATGTTTTGCCTTTTTTTTTTTATACTTACCTTTTTTGATGTCAATAGGCCAGTGATGCTCTGGGTGTTTTTCATCTCTGAATCTGCAATGGTCTGGGGCAGTCCTCTGATAAGCAAAGATCAGCAGCACTGATGTGATGACCCACTCAATACAATATGAATGAACAATATGGCCCCCAGTGCCCATTCAGTCATTGTATTACCTCAGTCTTTTGGGTTGAATGACTCTGGGGGGGCATCGTTCAACATCTTGTGGAGGACATCTTGTGAAGAAAAGTGGAACTGAAGGGAAATGTTTGATTGAAGGTGCGTATTGCAGCCTGAGCTTCTTTTTTATTTTTACCCTGCCTGGAAAACCTGCCTTTGAAATAAAAAAAAATCTAGACTTCATATGTCTACATGTCTACTAAAACAAAACATATTATATCATAACATCAACAGGTAACACGGCTCTGCACGTTCTCGTTCTACAACCCAATAAAAGTCTTTCGTGTCAGATGTTTGACTTCCTGTTATCCCAGGATCGCGAGCCTCATGTGAAGCTTCTGCATGAGATTGCCAACAGACAGGGACTCACTCCGCTGAAACTATCGGCAGTTGAAGGAAACGTGGTGGTGGGTAAATACTCCATTTTAAAACAGTTCAGGACCTGTATTGTGGTCGCTGTGCCCAAAAAAGGCAAGCAAGAGGACAAAGAACTTGTCACAAAGAACTGCCTGAAGCTGATTTCCCTATTACTGACCTACCATGCCTCGTTCTGCAAATATTCTTGTCGCCATTTGTTCAGACAATAAAAGTTTTTTTGGACTCTTGAGATGATTACCTGGAGATATTTTATATTCTTCAACCACATTGTACTGCATTGGGTCACTGTGGATGGGTGTCCTTTTGGCAGAGAAGCAGGGCTTTGTTTTCCCCATGGGGCCAGGGCTACCCAACCCCTCTACCCCTGTTAACTGGTGATCTGAGGACTGACTGGTGGGGGAATATTCAAGTAGCAGCATAAGGGTTGGAAGAAGCACAGATCCACAGAATAAATGAAGTAAAGGCAGGGAGATCCTCTGGTACAGCATCCTCTCCAGCAAGGAGAACTGTTCTCCTTGCTGGAGAGGATGCTGTAGCATAATAGTTAGTGAGACCAGCAGCCAGAGGCTGCAGTGCCTTAGATAGACAGCTATAAGGCTGTAGGCACAGGAATGCCAATGTATCCTCACAGACCAGGAAGTGCTCTGTTATACAGTATTTTAGGAGGTAGAAAAAAGGTAGAAATGTCAGGGTACTGCTAAAGCACAATTACCATCTCTATATGTTCCTTATAACAAATCCTGGCTTTTTTGAGTTTAGATTCACTTTAGGCAGCTAGTTTTCTAGTGGTAAATTATTGCTAAGGATGGACTCAGATGAAGTAATCAATGGTTTTCTACCTTCAGTTCAGGAGGCTTGGGATACATGGTGGCAGGCCACAACTACAGTAGATAACTTAGGCTATGTCATCAGGCTGTTTGTTCTTTGGATAGTGGGAAAGAGTTAAAAAAAATGCTGGGTTATTATGCTTCTCTGTGACCTCCACAGTGAAGTAATTTTCCCTCTGTGACCCCCAATGGATGCTCTAACCCTTCCCTGCTCTGTCCAGAACAGAAAGGAATGTTTTTGCTGGAGTTGGGTTTTAATGGTGGACATATGTTTTTGGCAGATGTTCCAGCACTTGATTCAGAGGAAACGCCAAACACAATGGACATTTGGCCCAGTTACCACTGTGCTGTATGACATGTCAGAGTTGGATACATGGGAAGGACAATCCATATTGGAGTTAATTGCATCATCAAACAAGAGTCAGGTGAGTTATAACATTTATAATTCAATACATTTGGTCTGTACAAGAACAATTAAGCGTCAAAGTAGACATTCCTGTTTTAATAAATTTACTTTTCACAGATTTACTGCATCATATTTAGGGATGCACCGATATATCGGCCGCCGAAACATATCGGACGAAAATGGCACTTTTGTCTAAATGCCGAAAATGCCCTTTTCCTGCCGATACATCGGCGCTGCTCTGTGTCCCAGCGGGGAGGAAAGAAACTGTGATAGCCAGCCGAGCGCTGCGGGAGAAGAGCGCTGTGAGCAGCCGGTGTCTCTCCTCCCACACCGCTCAGCCTCCTATCACAGTCCGGCAGATCGGTGTAAAAAATTTAAACGTTTATAAAAAATAAATAAAAATTAAATATAAAAAAAATGAAAACATTTAAATAAAAAACATTTTCGGTTTCGGCCTGACAATGTTTTTTATTTCAGTTTCGTTTCGGTTTCGAAAGTTCCATTTCGGTGCACCTCTAATAATATTGTAAGGAGTCGACAGCCATAAAGATTACCAAATGCACCAAATCCAGGGCTCAGGGTGTACACAACCAAAAGTTGCTCAATTTGTTACAGAGTTTTTGATCCAATCAGTAAGAAATCAGTATTTTTTTCTTTTCAAGGCTCACAAAATATTAAACATTTCCCCTATGAAAGAGTTGTTACAGAAGAAGTGGCAGAAAACTGGACGGCCATACATATGGATCTTGGCCATAGTCTATATGTTATATATGGTCTGTGTGTCCCTCTGCTGTGCCAACCGACCAATCAAACCCCGGGAAGACAACGTCACTGATCCTATGGACATCACCTTGTATGTCCAGAAAACCCTGCAGGTGAGACAAGCCGGATAGCGCCATCTGCATGTTCTGCATGAAAATCATTGACCTACATGAACAATGTGCATAATTGTTTATGTAAAACTTACTTTCTGTGCTCTACTGTTAAGGGGACTACAGAACACCCTCCCTACTGCATTTTTATAACATAATGGAGAGTTGAGCATTGGCAAAAAGCACGGAAAGTTAGCTTAAAAGATTTCTGGCAGGGTCAACGATTATTTGCTGTACTCTTCGAACATATTTTTTTGCAGTTTTTTGAACAAAACTCTTTGAATGGTATATTTAGCAGAACAAACAGTAGTAAAGAAGACACGTTAATTAATAGGACTTTAATAGGCTTCTTGTTTAAAGCTACAAAGGTGGTCCAGAGGAGCACAAGGAAGTCCAGGCTCAAAGAGAGAATGATCTTTCTCTCCTTGGGTGACGTTCTGAACTATGGCAACTAAATGGGCAATCCCTGTGATGTGCTTGGTTATCAGGTGTTATAATAAAAGGAAGTATACTTACACGGGTAAGCCCAGGTGGCAAGCCACCCGTTCTTCCTTATAGCATGGACTTTTTGGGTTATGGGGTCTGCCGTGCACCTTCCAATGCCTGGTGTGATCTAGTAAGTGGTTCTGTGTCGACAGGCCATGGACTTGTATCGATGAGCAAATGTAGCTTGCTTTCAGGTGCATGCTGCTTTAATTCAGTTTGAGATGCTTCTGAGACCATTTAGAGTTAATTGACAGGTGCAGTTGACCTCCTTCTGATCTGCTTCAAGCTGCTTTTGCATTAATATTGACTTGTATGGGGAGAAAAGCAGTTCTGATGCAAACATAGGACCTTCATAACAGAACCTTAGAGAAACAGGTTAATGTAAAAACCTGAACTAGTGTGCAAGGCAAACAAGCCAAATTGAATTCTAGAAACAACCATCAAAGATATTATGTCAGATCTCCCAGTGCATTTCTAGCTTCCCTTATTAACCTATCTATTAGCTGTAGTGTTGCTTTAGACAGTCAAAGCATGATGGAGTCCTAATTTCCTGAATGGAATGGGTAAATGATTGCAAAGTTCAACTACATCACAATGACACCTTTTGTTACAGCCATGTGAAACAGGGTAAAGACACAGGCAGCTATAGTAGGGTGAACCCACTGGATTCTTCCAGATACAATAATAGCTGATCCAACACAACGGTGCCCATCCAATGCTAAAGTTGGTCTCGAGTTGTTTTGTTTTCTTGTGAAACTGCATACAGATACAATAGCACTGGTTGTGCTTTCTTACCATTACCCTATTTTCTTCCACAACGCAGGAAGCGTATGTCACCCCAGCAGACCACCTGAGACTGATCGGTGAGATAATATCTGTGATCGGTGCATGTGCCCTTTTGCTGACTGAGGTGAGATTGCAGAATTCACACTAATGAATTTGCACTCGCTGCTGTAAGAGTATAGCCTAATATTAAGAGGTTATTGATAGCTGCTGTGTACATACATGAGAAGTAGAGAAATTTAGAGTTAGGTACAGATGGTACAGAGGGGACACTGGAGGGAAAGGAGAAGGGATGGTACAGGGGGACACTGAAGGGGAAGGAAAGGTGATGGTACATGGGGACACTGGAAAGGGAAGGAAGGGCAATGGTACGGAGAGGAGAGTGGAGGGGAAAGAGCCACAATAGTACAGGGGCCACTGGAGGAAAAGGAGGGGTGATGGTACAGGGAGACACTGGAAGGGAAGGCAAGGCAATGGCATAGAGGGGACACTATAGGGAATGCAGAGGTGATGGTACAGTGGGAACACTGGGGTAAAGGAGTGGTGATGGTACAGGGGGATGGTGAAGGGGAAAGAAAAGGGTTGGCATGGAGGGGATACTAGAAGGAAAAGAAAGGTGATGGTACAGGGGGGGACACTGGAGGGGAAGGAGAGGCGATGGCACAGAGGTGACACTAGAGGGAAAGGAAAGGTGATGGTGCAGGGAGGATGCTGGAGGGAAAAGAGACTCCACGTTACAGAGGGGGGCACTGGAGGGAAAGGGGAGGAGATAGTACATAGGAATACTGGCTGTAAAAGTGAGGTTACAGTACAGAGGGATGCTGGAGAGAAAGAGAGGAGATGGAGAGGAGAAGGAGAAGAGGCTGTGGGGGGGGG